GATTCTCCAAAACTATAATGTACAACTGATTATTAAATGAAAATTATTTATTTAGAACGTTTAATTCTCCGGCATTTTATTTGTTTCAACTCAAATTAAACTTTGCCTTGAAAGTGAATGAGTAACTAAATAAATAAACCAGGTAACGGCAGGTACAGGAAGCAGCAGYGTCCAAAATACATCAGAAACTCACCCAAATGAGCAAATTCTCTGAGATTCCGCATTTCATACTGGATTTCATTTTGTGTTAATTCCGTAATTCCGTCTGCAATTTCAGCATTGTGGAAATCATAGGGCCCCCACATATCTCAGTCCTATTTTTATTTTTATTTTTTTACATATCTGGGAAATTTTTCCACGTACCCCATGTAATATGCTCGCGTACCCCAAGGGGTACACGTACTCCTAGTTGGGAATCATTGACTCAAAATAATGTTTAAAGTGTAAGAGCAACCTAAACTCATTGTCAGTCCAGACAAACGTTCGTGTATTTGAGATGGGATGTTTTGTTTGAACAGCTCCTTACAACCGAGTTGTGGACAGCAAAAAAATTTTCGTATTTTTTTGAACTCTTCGTAATATTATCTTTATTTGTTCCTGAGACAATTGCTTCTCCTTTGCTTTTTCACAGAAAACAGGCAGAGGGGTGGTTAGCTCGAGGAAAAAGGGGAGTGGGGTTCCGCTTGATTAAACACACGGTTCCATCCAYGTGACATGATGATGTCATCATTAATGGCATATGTGATGATGTAGACTGTTGGAAATCAAATGGTCAAATTGAACCACTGGCTCATTAAGATCCATATCCCTTTGTAGAGCCATCCCATCTGTGTATTCTGTGTTTTGTCGTGCTCAAGATGTAAGTGTTGTGCGTGTTGTTGAAATACAAAAATCACAGCACCAGCTACTGACTGACATGGAAACTACAGTGTGTTCATCATCAGATATGTTTTTTTTTTTTTTGATGGCAGCAATTTTTTTAAATCTTTGTCTCACTTTAAATAACTGTTAGCTTCTTAATTTGTTCTGATAAACTTAATTTCTTCAAACAAAAGCCATTCAAAAAGTTATCTACAACAGGTGAGATGTTAACTGTTCATTGCTTTTCCACAGAACTCAAGTCAAACTAGAACCATGAGGGCAGGAAGTGTCCCTTTATTATCAGTCTTTAACACAGATTTACACTGTGTACAAACTCCCAGCAGTGCTTTGCCGTGGGGCGACCTGCAGTCATCAAATTTAAGATAAACTTCTTATAAACTTTTTCACTTTCTATTTTTCAACAGAATGGGGGGAAAAAGTACAGAAAGTTTTGTCAAAGAGAGAGCTTCTTTTTTTTCCAGACTAAGCTCAATCTTTTCCAGTCCGGATGTTAAGCAGGAATTGTTGATCCGTTGTGGGTGATCCATGACAGCAGAATTACCTCCAGGCCGGAGTGTGTGTGTGTGTGTGTGTGTGTGTGTGTGTGTGTGTGTGTGTGTGTGTGTG